ACACACACACACACACACACACACACACACACACACACACGATGAAATGAGAACACAAACTTAGGAGGTGACTCTGCCTGGGCAAGAGTGAGGCTGCACACAGCACCAACCCTGATGATAACTTTGCTTTGCATTTCCAGCTTTCAGAATGGTAAAGGAATAAGTTATGCAGCTCAAAAAATATGAGATGTGGTGGTCTGCTGCAATTCAATCTCTGGAATGAACCCTACTAATACAGAGGAGTAAAGAAATCACAAAAGAACATCTACCATGCAATTCCACATACAAGAGGTTTGAAAAGCAAATGAAATTCATCAGTGCGAGCAAAAGCCAGGGCTCCATTACAGAACCAATAGAAGCTTGTGGAAGTAGACTATGCCTCTTTCTTCTTTGGGGACCAAAGAAATGTAGTGTTTTCTAGAGGAGAAATCATTATGCAGTCCAATGACAGTTCATACACTTATCTGTCTCAATAAAGCATTTAACTAAGAACAACTATATGACTAGAGTTCTGGCTGACGTTCCACAGGAAAGAAAAGATTGTACAATATCTCAGTGGATGGATGTGGTGGTTTGAGTGAGAATAACTCAAACATATTTGAATGTTTGCTTGCTAATTGTTGGATTTGGGGGGATGGCTTTGGATGTATAGCATTGTTGGATGAGGGGAATCACTTGAGGAGGCCTTTGAAAGATCAAATTCCCCCACCAGGCCCACTCTCCACCTCTCTGCCTGCCTGATGCCTGTGAATCATAATGAAATCTCTCAAATACTGCTGAAGTGCCGTGCCTGCCTTCCTGATGCCAAGCGTCCAGTCATGATAGTCATGGGCTTGCAATTTAAAACTCTAAATAAGCCCCCAGTTGAATGCTTTTCTTTTAGAAGCTGCCTTGGTCATGGTGTCTCTTCACAGCAGTAGAACACTTATTAAAACAATGGACAAATACAGGAGGCTCACAGTGCCCTCTTGACCCCTCCCCAGATTCCAGCTCCACATGTCCTTACCTCTTTGGTCTGCAAACTGTCCCTCAGGGCAGGGACTGCAATCAAAGCAGCAGTGTGGGGCTCCCAGCCTGGGCACTTGGCTGAACCCTGGAAGGCAGCTTTCACTGCAGACAGAGCTGGGCACCTAGTAACAGTGAGCACATTGTCACCAGGGACTCCAGGAATACAGATGCTTGACCTCAGCCTGAGAACCAGAACAGAAGAGTTGCCTCACAGAACAGTAGATGAGATAGATGCCTGTCAGAAAAACATGTCTGTCTTATCAGATGCCAGACTGGAGAAGTAACATTGAATGTAATAGAGGAAGGACTACATCTGGCTTGCATGACTAAGGGATTCAAAAACATAGCTAAACAGTTTGATGTGTTGTCCTACCAGCTTCTCTGGGGCTCCTATATCAACAATCAAAGATATGGGGGCAGGAGAGAAGGCTCAGTGGTTCAGAGCACAGGCTGCTCTTCCAGATGAACAGGGTTCAATGCCTAGCACCCCTATATCAGCTCACACTGTAACTGTATTTCCAGAGGATCCAGTGCCCTCCACAGCCTCCATAGGCACCATGGAAAAATCCATGTATGTAAATACAACTTGAAAAAAATTGTAAGTATTGACAGACATTACAAAGTGCTGCCATACTGTGTTATCAGGTCATTTTTGCTGGTGAATCAATATCATTCAGATAAAGATCTGTTGTGAGGTAAACAGCATAGCCAGTTATAACTGACTGGCCCATCCTGAACTGCATCAAATAAATACAGAAGTAGAGATGAGGAGCCCTGGACTTAGAATTGCCCTGTTACTTTAACACATTAGGATAAGACTTATCACTGCAGTCAGGCAACTCACTTGAAGATCCTCCTTCAAATGGACCATCATTTTGCTCCCCAAAGAGATCTGAGGGTCTATCATGCCTACATGGACTGAATGAAATACACCCTCATGGGTCTTCTGCCATTGGAAAATGTCAAATTTTGTCACCAAATCTCCATTGGCATCAAACAAAATCTTGATTCCATCAGGAGTCTTGAAGTGCACCTTCCTGAGGGCATGAAGCAGCTGAAGAAGGAAGGGAGACATTGTACACTGGCAAGGACCTGTTCGAGACATTTATCCATGAAGCCACATGCCATTGGGCTCTGAAGTGATACAGTTCCATTTCAACCAAGAATTAGACCCATTAGGTATAAAGGAGATGAAGGACCCATGATATTCTCAGACTAACAAAAAAAGTTCTAACATTAATAAGTAATAATTCATAATAATTAACCAGGTAATTTTAAATCTCTCTCTCTCTCTCTCTCTCTCTCTCTCTCTCTCTCTCTCTCTCTCTCTCTCTCTCTCTCTCTGTGTGTGTATGTGTGTACAGCTCAATCATACTGTGTAATCCAGAGAACAACTCTCAGGAATGTTCTCTCCTGCTATCATGTTGGACTCAGGAATCAAACGTATGCTTGTAGAATAGTGCCACTACCCACTGATCCACTTCAACAGCCTTAATTAAACACAAAAACATGACAATGTGGTTCCTGCTCCAGAGTCTCATTTGGCTGTGCACTACTGTCCTCAGTCTTCCCATCACACTCAGTAGACTCCAAATCCTAGCAGGACTTCCACAGACTGGCCCCAGCCCACCTAGACCACCCATTCACTCCAGCCAGTCTCCCATTATTTATCAGTCCCGCCCATGTTGCTCTTCTATTTGTCTTCATTCTAGGGTCTTGACACATGCTGTCCCTGCCATCTGCAATGCAATCACTTCTACCCATGGTGAGACTTCTCATCCTCTTGTCTGGAACTCAGATATTTTCACACAGAGAGAATTTCTCCAGCCTTTCACTTCCTTTCACTCACTCCTCAGCCTTCATCTAATTTACATCTTCTTCATAGAATAAACACAGACTTCTTCATATTCACATATTTTTATTTTGTGACAGAAT